GACAGAGCTTGTGCCAGATCCATAGCTTTCCAGCGCCCGTGGCAGCAAGTTCAAAATTGCTGCTTTGCTGTGGCTATCAGACACAGGTTGAGCAGTAACGGCATCACAGACGAGGGTATTGTATCTCGACTGCATGAATGCAGCATGGAATCATCATCAACCAACAGTATCCAGTATTGTTCAACTTGACCTACCTATGTAATTCCTTCTTACCTTTCTGCCCTTGCTGACAATGTGTATATATATATATGTCTACTCTGCTGCTATGCTGTATTCTCAATGGAAGGATCCCATTGCCGCAGTGCTGGACAGCAACAATGTATTGAAAAAGCCCTTTGCTCAGATGCTTGACGACAAACGCGTTGAACGGTTTAGCTTTGCATTCTGAAGCATGGGCGAGGATTGACCTTTCTGACAATCGCTTTGGATCAAGGCAAGGGCCTATCACAAGGGGTGATTGCTGTCGTGGATACCATGTTTTGATTGTAACGTATATGGCATGGGTGTCAACCAATGAATAGTCTATGTTCCTTCTTCTAGAGGTCTCCCTATTTTGATACATTATATATACACTGTGGTACTTAGTAGTGTAGATACTTTTTCTCTGACTGTTTGAAGCCCGCCCCCTGCCAGGGGTGCACAACAGCTGGCCTCTGGTGTCTCAAGGCGTAAGCCCGGTCACGAAGTCACTCTGTCTCTGTGTTCAGTGAGCAACCACTTGTCAAACACACAGCTCGCACCTTTGAACCCTGCACTGGGATCATTTTTTGCGTTTATCCGACATACCAGGTAAGCTGTGGCACGGCCGGTGGGTGGACGAAAAAGGACAACTATAGCAACTATATAGCAACTATATGTTGATTTCTCACATTGGGGAGTGTGATGATGCGATACCTTGTTGGTTTCTCACTTGTGTTGATGTGGTGCATGAATTGCGGAGCGGTGATTTGTGGTGAACTATGACGCTGACCACTTTCAGGCCACTTTTGGACTTAAACACCTTTAGAAATACACCACTTCACAAGTGGTTTAAAGGTACCAGAAACAAACAACTTCACCACTTCACTAATAGAACCGTACCACCTCAATACTGTTGAACATGTACCACATTTCCATAGTTTTCTGATGTTTTCTCTAAAAATCCTTTGGTTTTGGGTGTGATCTCTGGAAATCTTTGCTTTTGTATATATATAGATACTTTCTCTTCAAAGCTCCAACTTGCAGATAGCAATCTCTTTATGTGCTTGTCTCCAGAAATCTCTACAATTGCAGCTTTTCAGGATTCCTCCTGAATCCTGTGATTCCGCCCGTCCGCCACTCGAACCCAAAACCCTCCCTCTTTGATCTTTCTGTCCTGTTTGTGCGTGGGACCTTTGCTCAACTTGCCAGAACTGGGAACTTTCTCATCAAAGCTTCCATGGTCCACATCAGTGAAATGGAAGCGATTGGAGCTTCTGGTTTGTAATCGGACAGCAATCAACTGCACACAGCCAACTAAATCGAAATGACAGGAACAAATCGCTGATCGAGCTCAACCTCAGCAGGAACAGTATTGGTGATCAGGGTGTCAGGGAACCCAAGAAGGAAGAAGGCACATGACTGTAATGTGTGTTATATTTTTGCAATCTCTCGCCTTTGAATAAGTTTAGATTTTCAGGCTTGTGCCTTCCTACCAACTGAGGCTGAAGAATTTCTGGCGGTGCTGGATGTGGCAGTCCGGCCAAGACCAGCGGTCAGATTCTCAGATTCTCGTTCATCCAGTATCAGAATCCACGACAAAAAGAGCGATGGAACGGAAAGGCGGCTGGGTCCAGTGAGTTGAAGGTGTTTTAACAAAAGTTTAGCGCGTGACTGCGGAAAGCTAAATCAACGCCGTGCATAAAAAAGGGTTTAGGGGAATAGCATGAGAACCACCATGAGAAGCAAACCGAAAGTAGAACAGCTTGTGCAACAGCTCCGCAGGTACGTTTTCAGCCCTCACCAGTGGCCTCTTCGGTGGCCATCCACCACTGGTGAGGGGGATGGCACCCTGCGAACATGGTTTCAGAAAAGCAAAACTCTTGGAAACAGAGTGTGACACACACACACACACGGCCGCTTTGCGGCGCTAAACCTAAATAGTCACCTAACAAGCCTTAGAAGAAGAAAGGAAAGAAAAAAACGGAAAACGAAGAGGGCAGGAGAAAAACAAAAGGAGGTGTAAGGGCGTGCAGGTCTGCCGCGCGAGCGGCAAATTACGGGTCAGAACCTCAGTCGGTACCGAAAAAAGCCTTAGAAAAGAAAGAAAGAAAGCAAGAAAGAAAGAAAGCAAGCAAGAAAGAAAGAAAGACAAAAAAAAACAGAAAGAGCAAAACGAAAAGGGCAAGAGAAAAAGATAGGGGTAGCGAAGCAGGTGACTACTTAGCACTTGACTACTTAGCCCTTGACTAAGAAACCCGAGGGGCAGGGAAACGAGCCTCAAGAACTACTTAACAAGCCTGAAAGAACACCTAGAAAACGAAGAAAGCGCAAGAGAGAAAGCGGGGGGGGGGGGGGGGGGGGGGGGTGTATGTCCATGTGTGTGTACATGTGTATGTTTACTGTAAGCCCGGCGGCGTGAAATTCCGTAGCTCGGCAGCTTTGCGATCGGTTGACTCATGGGTTAAAATTCAAGCCAGAATCCACGGTGGCGGCACTTAGTCAGAAAAACCTGATACACGAAGGCGGCTGGGTCCAGTGAGTTGAAGGTGTTTCAACAAAAGTTTAGCGCGTGACTGCGGAAAGCTAGTTACCGAATACGTACCAGATCGAATTAACGCCGTGCAAAAAGAAGGGTGTACGGGAATAGCATGAGAACCACCATGAGAAGCAAACCGAAAGGAGAAAGGTACGTTTTCAGCCCTCACCAGTGGCCTCTTCGATGGCCATCCACCACTGGTGAGGGGGTGGCCCCCTGCGAACATGGTTGACACACATTCTTGCAGCAGAAGCCGCGCGCAGTAAGAGCAGTAGCAGAAGTCTCTTGCAAGAGTAATGCTATATATATAGCAGGAACAATAGTAGCAACCGCAGCAGCAGCAATAGCAGCTTCAACAGTGCCAGTTGAAGTGGCCATATACAATAGAAGCAGAAGTACAAGTAGATTTAGAAGGAAAAAGAATAGTGGTAGTGGTGCTGGTGCTGGAGGAGCAGCAGCAGCGGCAGCAGGAGGAGGAGTAGTAGTAGTAGTAGTAGTAGCAGGAGTAGTAGTAGTAGTAGTAGTAGTAATAGTCGTAGTCGTAGTCGTAGTCGTAGTAGCAGATGATTAGTAGAAGTGGTAGAAGTTGGAGGGCTGAAAGTATTGTTATTGTAATAATTGGTAAAGGTTGTGGCAGCAGCACGAGCAGTAGCGCAGTATTTGCAATGGTTTCTGTACGGACAAGAGACAATTCCCACCTTCACAAGATAGTGATCATATTTCTTCCTGCAACTAGTATCTTCTTGCTCCTAGTAGCGATGCCCTTTGTTCCTAGTAGCTTCTTTGCTCCTTTGCCGCCAAGGCCCTGCGGATTTTGGACCTTTCTGGTAATTCCATCACAAGGCCGACTTGTTAATGCAGGGCTAACCAGCAGGTGGGGTTGTGAGACTTGACAGGCGCACAGAAGATCGTTTGATGTCTGCATTCCACCGGAACATCACGGATTTGAACTCAGTGCTAGACGTCTTGGGAGCAGTTACTTGCTTTTCGTGAACACTGCTTGTCCCAAGTGAAAAGTCAGGTCCTGAGCTCACTTCGAATCTCAGAAGCTGATGCCCAGGCATATTGCCATATTGCATTGCAAGCAACTTTGCTTTTCAGTTTTTTGGTTACCAGGCACCTGACCCTGATAACGGCAAGCCTCCGCGCTTCACAGTGACGCTGGCACGACAAAGAAAAGGACATGTGCACTTGGATAGTCATACCATTGAATACCATTGCGGAATCAGCACTTCACGACTTTGCCAGGTTGTCTGCACCCAGCAGGGTATTGAAGTTCGCACAGGAAGACCTGGGTTTGTGCCCCAGGAAACATGGCATGAATAATCATTGTCAATGTAAAGGGAACTGCGTAAGCAGTAAGCTTGCGCTTCGGCAGTTCATTTTCCATGAGGCCCAGAGCCCAAGTCAGCCAAGCTCCTGGAATTTTCTTGCGCGCAAGTGAAGGATTCCAACATGATGCAAGAGCTAAGCTTTTTAGATGTTGGAGCTAAATATTGAGATCTGAGGTTGGGAACAAGATCAAGGTGATGTGGAGGTTGTTCTGAAGCGTCCAGAGTTGAGACGCAGTGATTCAGCGTCGGCTTCGGCGAGTTTCACCGTTTGAAACCCTCATTTCAGCCAAAGTATGATCCATGGCAGGGTCGTGGATGTTGGCTTTGGCTATCGCCGCCTGAAGGTAACTGTTCAAGCCTGAGCAGATTTACTGTCCAGATTGCACCGAGCAATGGTTGTGCTTTTTGAGCAACTGCTGTTCCATTCTTGCAAATTCCACAAACTTTGTCGTGTTATGTTGAGAGAGTCCAGGACTGCCAGCTTCATTGGTTCCCCATTTTCTATTGCATCAAACTTCTCGGTTCAATGCTGAAGCGAAAGCAGCACTCATATATCCCAGGTTCGCGGAGAGCTCCTTATGGACATAGAGCTTGCTGCGTTGTGCACTGAGCAAGACACAACAAGCAAACCTTGCCTGGTCTTTGATAACTTGGCATTGCAACCATCTTGGCAGACAGAATCGAGTTAAACTATCTTCGCAGGTTCACTAGGTACGGACATCATACGGGCAAGCTCGCATGACACTTTCTGGAGTTTCTGACTTCTGGTGCAGGGTTGGCAAATATGGTTATATAAGTTAAATACGATGGCGCTAGATCCCACTTCGAAACTTCCAAGGCGCATTCGCCCAGATGACTGTGCCTGGACCGTTGGTGATGGATACCTTCAAGTTGTTCTCGCCAAGGCCATTGGCTTCATTCTTATTGTAGTTGTTTGGTGCTCCGGTATGGTGCGGTGTCACTTGCCTTGAAATGGTCCAGTTTGGTTTCTTAATGGGTTTAGTTTTTTGATGTTTTTTGGAGACCCACAAACATGGCCTACGCATTATCCTTTCATTGTCCACAGTTTCATGATGGATGTTCACGGAGCGTCATTGCATTCGCCTGTGGTTCAAACCACTTGCAAAAGTGTCATGGATTTGCGGCGGGTGAGAGCCAACCACAATGGAAGAGGTTGGCTTGATGAAGCTTATTATTGATCCTCAAGCTGAAGGCCAGCGCTTCAGGTCTGGCTTGTCCTTAGAGAGCATCTCGAGCTTACGAAATGCCAGATTCTGCTTCCTTTGCAGCCAGTATTTGCCCATGCTTCTTTATTATATGCGAACATCGGAGCAGCAGCTGAAGTTTCCAGCCTCTCTAAGCTACACCACTTCGAGAGGCCTTCCAAGATTTGCCTGCCTGTTACTGTGGCTTGTTGGATGGTATTTTTTCATTCGGATTTTGGACTGGAGTGCGGACCTTGCCATATTGGCATTTGCTGCACAAATGCTGCTAACTGCAGGAATAAGTGCATGGTCCAACCAACCAAACCAAACAAGACATCACGATTTGATTCACATGGGGGCTGCTACACTTTACATTCTTGACCATATATGGCTAATGGAACTGGTTGGAATGAAATCGATTTACAAAGCAGGGTTCTACACGTTCTTTTTGATTACAGCTGCATCCCTCCATTGGGGCCAGTCAATAAAACGACTAGCTGGACTGCAGCCAAAACATGCATCAAATGCAGCTGAGTGGCAGATGCTTCTTGCTAAGCTCCCTGAAGACCAAAGCAAGCAGCTTTGGTGGGCAGAGCTGAGTTTCATGGTGGCTGAGAACTTGGTGTTCACCTCTTTCGTGCTGGGACTCGCCTCTGGTTGTGCAGATACCTGAGGGGAAGCAGTTCAGTTGCGAAGAAGTAGTGCTGAGCCTTTCACATCATTCACGGCCGTTCTACTGATGGGCATTGCTTCGGTGCTCCAAGTTGCCAAGCATCTCTATGCAGTGTACGTCAAGGAAAGATTGGTCACAAGCCTGCTGTCAGCCCGCTGCCAGCCTGCTGCATAAAATGACAAAGTAAAGTCAAATGTATTTGCACTGCAGAAATGCCGCTCCAATCGCGCAGTTGCCATGATGAAAAGGGCGAGCTGCTTGTTCACGGCATCTTACGCGCTGCTTGGCCTCACCTCACTTTGCTGTGCTGTCGTGCTGGCTCAGTAACGTAGCATTTCCCTCCTGATTTGTGAATTTCGGTTTCGGATTTCACATCATGTCACAAGGTCTTTCCTTGCTCTCTTGAGATCATTGGTGCTGTTTAACACAACCTCGCCTCGAGCTCTTCCACCCCATACTGGTAGGCGAGTTGTCTTTAGGGCTTTTGCACCTCGGCAAGATATGTAATGTAACCCTTTTCGTACCGCATTCTTTATCTGGTACTGGTACTGGTGGATGCTGACACGGATCCGCTCTATGTTTATGCCCAGTTGGTGAATGCTGTAGTGACTGTAGTGTACAATTTCCAGCTTCCCATTCAAGTTGGAACAGGAACGATTGAGGAGTAGGAACCTCCATGCTGCTACATATTTATATTTAGTTCACTATTAAACTATTATTATTACTACTAGACTACTACTACTACTACTACTACTCCTACTGCTGCTCCTGATTCTGCCCCTGCTCCTGCTCTGCTCCTACTCCTACTCCTGCTCCTGCTCCTGCTGCCACAACTCCTACTCCTACTCCTACTCCTACTACTACTACTACTACTACTATTACTACTACCACTACCTGCGCATAAATGTTACTGTGCAGCAGCTTTGCCCAGCCCGGTGTGCAGATTGCTTCGAAGCCTCATCACGTCCATGGCCTTTTCAAGTATGAATTTAGTGCCTTCCAGGCGGAAGTGGGCAGATGGCAGTCTCTGACAGCCTAGCAGCGAGAAAATCGTTTGTTAGTGCAATCTCCTGTGTCCGGTGCAAGCTTTGTACAGATCCGACCTCAAGTTGATCGTCAATGCATGCAGCAAGACGCACCTGACAAAGACATTTGGGTTCAAATCAGCTCACGGAACTCACGGAACTGCCCTGTGAACCAGGAGTGGTATGGGTTGCACAGTTGGTATCAATGTGAAACAGCACGATTTTGTTGGAGGATCTCGCCGAAGGCTCCAACCACCATGTTACTTGGGCTTGCGATGCTAAGATTATTTCAGACTCTTGTTGCAGTGCTGAGGGCACCGCTTTTGTGTCCCAAGGTTGGACTTCCTGTTTCCCAGTCCGGAGGTGAAAGAAACCTGCATTGATTACGCACGTCACGAGTAGTCTTGGTTCTATGCTTCCTGCGTTGACAGATGGCTGTAGCCAGGGAATGGCGCCCCAGACACTCTTCTGGATTTTTATGTGCTATGGGCTTTGGCCTCGGAATTTCTCAGCATTCCGTCAAAAAATCTTTGAATCCAACGTGCAGAGGTACATGCTGTTTACTGCAGCAAACTTGCTGAGTGATGGATCAGAGCTTCTCTTATTCATTCCGCAGGTGAGGAGCGCTCAGGATTCTGAAGACTCTGTTTGCATATTGTTTATCGGTGCCTGGAGAACATTTGGATAAGAGCAGAATATATTGATGGCAAATTCAAGCACAACCGCAACGGTGCAGCCTTGACCGGCATGTTGCAGCTGTTGTGGCTCACAACCGTCCACTTCTGTCCGCCCTTAAAGCTTGCTTGCGGACGGTTGTGCCTTTGCCGGCAGGGTGTTGCGATGAATGAAGTTGTGAATGTGTGATGCGGAACCCCCGCTGAGGCGGACCTAGCAAGGAGCTACGTCTTCCACTGACGTGGAATGCGCCGACAAAGGCACGGACTTCGAGGGTTTGGAGTTCTGATGACTTCTGAGTGCTGTTAGGCTTGTGTTTTTCTAACTCTTGTCAACACTTTGTGACTGTTGTAAACACTTTTGTGTGTTTGTTAGGCTGAATAATGGGTCGCTGGCTTAGAGGAGCTTCTATTTGTGAGTTCAAATAGTTGAAGAGCTTCCCAGGTGGACTGCCCAGTCGTTTTGTACCTAGTTACAAAGGCAAGACGGTCGCTGGGATTCTGATTTGCCTCGCATAGCTCAAACAGTTTTCTTGCCGTCAGGCATTGAAAAGCAGAGCCACTTTGCTCTGCAACAGGCATCCAGCTTCCTTCACACCTTGGCCGTCATACACTATATACGACTTGAGCATTTTGCATGCATCCGATGTAGTTTGCAGGATGGTGTGCCTTTCGAAAGAAACATTGAGCCCTTCGAGGTAGAGTTGAATCGTTCGCAGCTTGAGGCTGGGAACCATGAGGTTTTCTACAACTTTCAGTTCTATTTTCTTCTTGCATTGATTGACATGCCATGACAAATCCTAGTGGCCATTGTCAACTTGCTGTTGGAGCTTTTACAATGCGGCATCGGGGGCCAGGCATGGGGGCTTGCATGGAACCTTGCTCGGGCTGCTGCCTTGGTGTTGTTGAGGTGTTGCTTACTCCAAAGACTGAGAAGGAGTGAGAAAGACTTTTCAATCATGTTGAGTCGTGTTGCTTTCCCACTGCAGGCTGGGAGTTTTCAAGTGGCTGGCGTGGACCCATGCTCACCCGCTGGCAGATGGAACCAACAGCAGCAGGCTGGAGCTGGCTTGCAACAATCCAGAGTAGAAACACCAGCCAGAGACAGCCTCAAGCTTTGAAGCAGTCTTTTTTGGAACTTGCATTGCTGTGATTGTTTTTTTCTTTGAAGCAGTCGTTTGCCGCTTTGTCCTTCAGGCTTTTGGTCGTTGTGGTATTTGTCGAGGAGATGAGCTTTTCGAAGTCAACGACTCCTCAGACTATAGCACGATGAGTCAAGAGCTGGCAGTCTCACGGACTGTTCGCCTACTGTTTCGACCAGGGTCCAATGTGCGCACAAAGGCATCCAATTTGAAGCACTTGGTCAAGAATGCCTTTCTTCACATTGATACCACAGATCCTGAACCAGACCCAACCGACCAACCCGATGAGCCTCGAAGGCTGTCTCTTTCAGATCCTCTTCCTTTTGTTCGTCCGAGCCAGGTAGATGAGGCAGATGAAGATGCTTTGAGTGATGCAAGTGAGGCATCTTTCTACTCGATGAAGTCATCTTCATCCTCCCTATCATCGTCGTCTCAATGCTCGCAGCACCAGCCATCTAGTGGCAGGTCTTGTCCGTCCACAGACTGGGAGTTCCAAGGCTACCAGTGTCACAATGGACAAATGCTGCCACCTTTTTCACGCTCCGTTTCCAGTGGGCATGTCCGGCTCTCAACTTTCGGCTTTCAAAGCTATACAAGATTATACCTGGTAATCCTCCAGCAGACCCCGTGGGCGGAAGTTTCAAACGGTCGTAAACTATCGGAATGTGATGTGTGAACAAGGGTGATGAACGGTTCAAGGATGAAGTGAGTGTAAACAAGGGTGATGAAGTGAGTGGGTGAGTGAGTGAGTGAGTGAGGGAGGGAGGGAGGGAGGGAGGGACGGAGCGAGCTTGACACTGCAAAAATGCTTTTTGAAAATTAGTTTCCCCACTGTCACAACTAACCTGAGAACTCAACTTTTCCTGTCGCCCTGGAGTCTGGTCTTCTGTGCTGGCCCGTGCCGGGTGCATGGAGCCCGTTGGACCCGGGCCTGCAGACCCCGCAAAGTCCGTGGGTGGATGGAGCCCGTGGTGTGCATCGGGGCGGCGTGAGAGCAGCATATTATGTAATAAGAGCAGCGCTGGGGTCGGTGAAAAGGAGCTGGCAGATGTTGTTTGGTCAGGCAGCACGGTCGTTTGACGTTCCGGGCACCGTCGTTTTCGGGTGGAGCCACGAGAGAACCATCGAGGTAAAGGTTGCGAAGATCCTCGAAGCCGATGAGCCCATTGGGCCCGTGGAGCCGGTGAGTAGGAACACGGAAGCGACGCCTCACCCGACACAAATTCTGACATTGTATTTAATGTAGACTGACACATGGAGCGAAAGTTGGCGAGCCCCGTGCTTAATGCAGACTGGGACAAAGCTTACGAACCCCCATGCAACACACTGTTTGATACAACTTCTGACATTGTATCTGGTGGAGAAGTGGAGATAGTCGCAGAAGAGAACCATAGAGCTGGCTAAAGCTTGCCTTGAACCCCTGGAGCCTGTGGAAGAGACCGAATAAGAATCAGAAAGCACTATATAAATAAGAACAAAGCAAAACGATGAGCAAGGTCAAAGTTAAAGACAACATGAAACAAGAGGAAGGTTTGAACGCGGCGCAAACTAAGTAGACAGAAGAAGAGCAAAACACGTGGGAACGCGTAAGTGACGCCCCGACTGATATGCCCGACTTCTGGCAGTGTATTTGATGTAGACAGAGATAAACATATAAAAAAGGACCATGGAACAAAAACTTGCGAACCCCCCCCGCGACAAGCTGTCTTTTGTAACTTCTGACACTGTATCTGATGGAGTTAGTGACGGAAGAGAACTGTAGAGCGAAGGCCTGCGATCCCCGTCCGGCCCGTTCTGTGGGTCTGTGAAACCCTGGCAGGTGAAACGACCATTCCCCAGCCCTGCCAGTACGTAAACTATTCTCATCTATTCTCCGATTCTTTCCACCCCATGTCAGACACTAACACTAACAGACTGAAATCTCAACTCTTCCTTGCGCACCTCTGACGCCGGAGCAATCACAGAAGCTCCTGACTGATTTTAAGTGTTCATGATCTCCCGTATGCTAGGCTTCGGCTTTTCGTATCTCGGAACATTCTCGTCGAATCATTCATTTTTTGAGAACGAGATTCTTGCATGCTCAGTGAAGTGAAGAGGTGACCTTTTTTTTTGACTAGAAGAGCTGTCATTTTCTGTCGCCAAAGCGCCCAGGTGTCAACATCATCATCTGGACGAGGAAAGCGCCGCAGACGAGCCAGCGCAGCGAATGTTGTGCCGCCAGCTCCAATGCCGTCATGCCAAGTGCCAAATCAACTTCCCAATGCATTGGTGCCGAATCAAGTTCCAAATCAAATGCCGTTTCCTCCAACTATGGCCTGCGCCTTAGGTCCTTTGATGCCGATATATATATATATATACACATAATTACTGTATATAATAATGCATTTCCATATATATATATATAGACATAACATACATATTAATTACATATCATATATAGAGTAGGAGGATTCTTAGCCATAGTTTTGGATGACCAAATTGGACAAAGCACACATGCCATTTTCCATTCCCGAACATGGCCGATAAAAACTATTTGTTGAGTCAAGCTGATCTGGGGCACCTGTCTCTGTTTGAGGGTGAAGTAACTTCATACGCATGTGCTGTTTGAAGAACAACCACACTGCTTTGTTTTGAACGCTGGTACTACTCACATCTCCTCATCGAATTTATCTGAACCTGCTCAGGTGCCTGTGATGGTCCCAGTTGTGGGCGCACCTCCCTTCTTAGCGATGGCGGCACCTGCTTTGGGGCCTTTGGTATCTCCTCTAGTGCCTGCAAGCGTTGGTGTTGCAGTACCGTTTCCGAGTTGCAAGCAGCCGGACATGCCAATGGGACCACCAATGCCGACTCAAGAGGTAGAGACAACAGTATCTCAGCCATGTTGGGCAGCGCAAAATCTTTGTGCTCCAAATAGCTCACGCTTTGAGCAATCGTGTGATCACCAAGACGGGGCAGGTTGTTCTCGAGCTCCAGAGCCAGCACAGCTAGAGCCTGCTGCACCTTCTTTTGCGACCTTTGAGGAAACTGACACTCAGAAAGAGATAGTTGAGGAGACCTCAGTGTTGAAGGATCAGAAAAGTGCAGAGGGTGCGCCTGTGAAGCCGCGGAAGAGGCCCACTCGTCGTGGGGGAAAACGGGCAAGGCATCGGCCTTGCCATGCTGCCGAATGGGCTTCCAGCGTTGGGAGTGCTGAGACTCCCAGCTTCGGGGAGCCTGGTTCAGGAGAAGAAGCTGAAGGAGAGGAAGCCGAAGAAGGTGAAGATGAGAAGGAAGAGCTCAAGGAGGAGCTCCGAGACGCTAGTGCGCCACGATCTTTCGAGAAAAAGGATTTGAAGCGGAGATCTTTCTATCCCTTGGCGGCACGTTTGCGCCTTGCCGCTGGCCTCAAGCCAAAAGGCTTGGAAGAATCCAAAACCGCATTTGGCTCGGCAAAGATCTTTTCAAATCACATCCAGCCCAAGGCTGACGTCTCAAAAGACGGGTCTGTGCTACCGGGACCAAAAGTACCACCTGTATCAACGCTCCCGAATCCAATAGAAGTGATAGAGGAAGTGGAGCCTGAACCGGCTTCAGCCTCAGATGTCTCTGATCTTCCTAAACAAGAACCTGCTGAAGAGTTGGCAGCAGGCTGGGAAAGGGTGCTTCTGGAAGCCTGATGTTTGTGAGATGCGTTTCATTGAGATGCGTTGACATTGCAGAATGATCTGTTAACATGACGGAGAGAGTCCTGTTGGCATTTGCTGGACGGTGAACATTCTTGAACTTCTATCTGTCTAGAACTTTCTTGGTCAACGTTGGTCACAAAGAGTGAACATCCCCGAACTAGCGTTTGGTCAGATGTCAGAAGAACGGTGCTACGGTGCTGTATTTCATACCAACATATCCTTTGTCTCTCCCTCTTACATCGGAAGATTGTGGGATGTTAGTTGTTCGAGGTGTTTTTTTTTCTTTTTTCTTTTTAAGTATTAGTTATAAAATATTTAATATATTGGTTTCTTGTTCAATCTGATGAGGCACGATTCCAGAGCCGCTTGCTCCACATCGGGTGATTGATTTGCCTTCAGAGACTTGGTGTATGGAGATGAAACGCAGGAGCATGTGAAGAAACGCGAAGATGTATAAAGTTAGGTCGGAAGGAAATGAAAACAAACTTACCTAAACACTCATGACTCAGCACAGGATTTGGGACGGCGAGCTGAACCTCAGCATCCCATTGGATACTGCACTACCGTGCAACTAGAAATACAAGCAAGTTCGGACATGGTATATATAATATGTAAGCTTTAGGGAAGCTCTTTTGCTACAACGCTGTGGCTTAAATGCTCCAAGAAGAGCCCTGCGGAGCTTCTTTCATTCTCCTAAGCATTGTTAGACGACGCTGTTTAAGCAAAGACTCGCTGTTAAGGACCAGGTGGTGGGTCGACGAGTGCAGATCATTGGCCTGACGAAGACTCTGGAATTCAATGACCTTTGGGGAAAGGCACCCACCTGTTGAATTGTTACTAGTAGCTTCTTGTTCTTGTTCCTAGTAGTAAGGCCAGTTGCTACCTTGCTCCTAGTAGAAATGCCCTTTGTTACTATTAGCTTCTTGTTACTAGCAGTAAGAATGCTACTAGTAGTAATGCCCCTTACTAGTACGATGCCCTTGTTATTAAGGGTGAAAGAAACATGCGAGACAAATGAAGATGGAGCACAATTTCCGCAGAAGTGGCAGGTGGAACACTTTGATAGCAGCTGTAAACGCTTTGCCGTTCAGCTCCTCCCTGCACCTCGGCCAAGAGACTTCTAGCACTGATTCAAGCACCAGAGAAGCGATTGTTCAAATCCCAACAACAACATACTGGAGTTGCCTGGATTCCAAGATGCTCCATATCCCAACTTTCGCCATGCGCATTCACTTCCATGTGGACGATCGATCAAAATTCAAACACAAGCAGCATGTTGGACAATTTCTTTCTTACTGCAAAGCTTGATCAAGCACGACGAACTGGATCATCTCATGGTGCTTTATCCGAGGCAGAAGGCGTTCCCATGACTGTGAAGCTGCGTCAGGGACCAAGCGACCAAGTTGTACTTTGGACCGGACTCAATAGCATGACGAATCATGAGGAGTGTGCTAAAGACACTGGCCGTTCCAGGTGGAGAAAATCTGCGCATGCCACCTGTGCTCTCACTTTCTTTCAAAGACGCAAGCGGTAAGCAGGCCCGCAGACAACCGGAAATGTGGTGTCAAAGTCCACGTCTTCACAAAATCTAAACCTCTTGAAGAACTGTGGAACTTGCTGCAGGCAAATGCCTGGCAGCCAAACCTGCGAGCTGTGAGGCTTCGATTGCACTGAGATTCATAAGAGAGGCACCCACACCCTTCCCTCAACTTATTCGTGGTTATACTTGTTCCGCTGATTTAGGTCATGTTGCCCAGTCCATACTTGAGAGCTTAGGAATGCTGAATGCTGAGCTGCAGTTGGTTAGCCGCTTTTCGCTGCCAAGAGAAGTCAATCTTGATTGGAGGAAGACGTTCAACTTATTGCAGAAAGTAACATGTGCTTTTTTAAACAGTTCCTCGTGTTTGTACTCTTTGGGACTATGCCTTGGCCAGAGCGCGGCGACGACTCCCCGACAGTTTGAAGATGGACAGCATGCACACGAAATGCTGACCTTCATGTCCCATGTGCAATCTACGCCGTTTCAAGGCATGCTTCTCATCAAAGCACAAATCAGGCAATTGTAAAGAAAACACTGGCAAGACCATGTTGGAGAAGCGTGCGCAGGGGCAGAAACTTCCCCTTCACGTGTCTCAGGGACGAGAAACTCGCAATTTTCTCTGAGTTTCTCTTTGTAGTATATCTCAAAAGGTGTCACCCATAGATGTCGTGATTGAAGCAGCCTACGCAAATGATCATTGAGCCAGTGTTTGGGTGAGATTTGTCCACAGGGCTTGCTTGAGCAGAGCTGCTCCGGACATCTACACGACGTATTCTGTTTCACAGAGACGATCAAGAGTCAATCTAGAAACATGTCTCTACAGTCGCGTGTAAAAAGGAAAAAATGCGCCATTGGAACTGTGGTCACTTTGGAACCTCTGTTTGGCAATTGAATTCCGGAGTCCAGACTGAACTAGCCAACTAGTTCAGAGAATATTCAGTGACGTTCTTCCACTCTTTCGGAACCTCCGGAAATGGGACTGTTTGCTTTCACATGCTTTCACTTAACCTTTCGAAATAGGTGGCTGGACTTGTTGGAAGCGTTGTCCTTCCAGTTCTGGGAGCTGTTCCAGATGGTATGATGTGAGGACCTGAGATTGTCAGCCCTCCTACTAAAGTTTGCACCGTTGACCCCCTCCGCTCTACTGAAAGATTGCTCTACAGTTTTACTTTGTTTCTTAAAGCTCTATGCTGCTGTCCCCAAATGCTCAAACGTGGCACAAGAACTCCGGAATCGAAGATGTAACCCCAAAAAGAAACAAACACTGTATGTATATGGTCTTCGCCCCGAATTTAAAGATGAACACCCCCTAAATTTGATACCCGCAGCTTCTCGGCTTAGCGGGAGGTTAGATGTCACACGAGTTCGAGAGCTGCTCGTGTGCGCTTTGCCTCTCGCTCCGCCGCGTGTATAACCTCCTGTACGCGAAGGAGGCAAGTGGCGCGTTGCAGCTTCGTGGTGTCGAGCTTTTGCGTGTGACCTACTCGCAGCTGCTCGACTTCGTTGAAGCGGGGGAACCAGGGGCTGCCACTCCTGGTGAACCCATTCTCCCGGTAGGGGGAGAGGAAAGTCAGAGGAAGTCAGTGAAAGAAGAGCCCAAGCCGGAAGAGGACAAGGCCCCTACAGAACCCGGCAGTGCCCCCGTTGTTGACCCGCTTGAAGCTGACGCTGTAAGCACTAGTGGAGATCGCCCAGCAGAGGAGAAGAAGGAGGCTGAAGTGAAGAACTCAGTTGAAGGTGAGGAGAAGGACGAAGAGGTTGAGCCCAGAGGAAAGGAAAAGAAAAGGAGCTCCCGAGATCGAGAACGCCGTCGCCGCAGAGACAAAGAACAGGACACCAAGGAGGGAGCCACACCTCGCTCCCGTAGCCATCGTCGAGATCGCCGCAGACGCCAATCCAGCCGCGCCAGAAGCCCAGTTGAGAAGGGCCGCACGAGCCATTCCCACTCCCGTAGAGACAAGGGGAGAGAAAGAGTGACCGTAAGTCACCCCGTCACCCCATACACCGAGCCCCAGTCCCCGAGAGTTTGTGTCCCCTTCACCTCACAGACCCTTACCATCCCGTGCATCGGGGCTCACGAACGCTCAGAAGAGAGCCATCCCCCCTCCACCGAAGCCACCTCCGGTCAGGCCACCACGTGAGCCCGACCATCCACCCCCGGGATACTCCAGCTGGCAAGAGACAGACGTGCGGTCAAAGTCTTGGGCCTACCGTGAACCCCCTCCAAACAAGGGACGGAAGAAGGACGAGCGCAATACCAACTTCCGCCTGTGGAGGGAGTACGAGCGCGGTTACTACTGACCGCCATGCCACCGCGTCGACGACCGGCAGCAGCACCAGTGGAACGTCGAGAAGGAGCCCTTCGAAGGCCAAGGGTGGAAGTGCTTCGCAGGCCGGCGAGGGGGGAGGCAGCAGAGTCTCCCGTTCGAGAGGAAGTCGAATGGGCGTCGTTGAAGATCACTTTCAGTGCATTGAACCTACGGCAGAAGGTGGTGCTGGAGGGTCGCTACTGGGAGTCTCCCGTTCTTGTGGCAGGGGAGACGCGTGGCGTCGTGGTCAACGAGGGGGATGCGACTTGGAGGCTTTGGGTGACAGGGACACAGAGCGAATCCCTGTTACGAGAAGTTGGAGGACGGTGCAAAGAGTTGAGGATCCATGTATGCCCAGATCCATGCGACAGGTTGGTTTGGGCCAAGGACTTGATCCACGGCCTCCGCTACCACGTCCAGGAAGAGCCGGCCGAGGAATTTTGTTGAGGACATCCGCGTCCCCGAGAAGACGATCCTCTCCACCGTATTCGTGTAGAGATGGTCAAGAGAGCAGAGGGAGGGGATGTTGCAGGAGAGAAGACATTGAAAAAGGGCAAGAAGAGGAAGGCCAAGGTGAAGGTTCAGTTGGAGGCACCCCTCAAAGACGTCTTCAAGCACACAGCGTTGGACCCAGATGCCAACGTGAGGCACGAGCTGATGCGGAAAGCCCGAAAAATCAGGAAGGGCAAGAAGAAGAAGAAAAAGGGCTCCCGTTCCCGGAGCAAGGAATCCTCGGGGGAGGAGACGGGGGAGTCAAGCGACAGCTCGAGTTTAGGAGAGAGGCGCATTGCAACTTCAGAACTGTTCGAGAGCGAAAGGAGGTCCTTGCGCCTGTGGCGCCGTGTTCCAGGAGCGTTGACCAATGCCGCAGTGTTGGACATGCAAGATCAGATGATGACAGCTCAGGGCTACGTCAGTGTTCCGGCGGTGGAGGGAGCAGTGGCTCCCGTGGTGGCTCAGTATTTTCGGGCGCACTTGCAACCACATATGGGGGTGGCATTCGCCAGAGAATCATTGCACCTCGCGACCATCCTGGACCTGAGCTTGCGAGGCCGCATAGCGGCCGCCATGGACGTGGCGAGCCAACGACTCAAGGCCTTAGAGGCCATGGCAAGAGGCACAGCCATCGAGATCGCTCGCAGGCTAGAACTGGTAGGCGCAGATCGTCCTTCACTGCTGACCACACCGGAGGCAGGAGAAGCAGGCAGGGAGATGCAGACCGAGGATCAGATCATGCGCCGCAATACAGGTCGCTGGCATTGGGAGGACAAGGATTTCTACAAAGGTGGCAAAGGAAAAGAAAAAGGAAAGAGAGAGAAGGGCAAAGGAGACGGCAAATACAGGGACAAGGGCGCTCGAAAAGGCGACGGAAAGAAAAAAGAGGAGAAAGGCGACAAGGAGTGAAGAAGTTGAGAGGAGCAAAATGGGGGGGAGAGGTTGTTGAAGTGGGGCGTACTCTCCCGAAGGGCTTTGGCGACAACGGCAGGCAGCAAAGAGAGGCACTTGGGCTTGAGGAGTTTCACGGGGCGGTGACGCGCCCTTCAGCTGCAACCGGGTTGGCAGACGCGGTGCAGCATACGGCGCTACGAGGAGGAGATGAGCAGAGTGAGAATTCATTGTTGGTCTCCCGCGCTGAGGGAGGTGAGCGAGGTGTCGACCTAGGCATGGGTCAGGTTGACATCTCCCAGTCGGTGCCGGCCATTGGAGCAGAAGACCGCGGCGCCTCGTCAACTGCAGAGAATGTCAGACTCCCGGAAGAAGGGAGTGGCGTGAGCAAAGAAAAGCAGTTGTAGAAGATGATGTTTCGCCCAACAAGTTTCAGCAGCTCATGTCCATGGCCGTTGAAGCTTAGTGAATTGGAAGATGAGCGCATGCAGAACACGGTAGAGGATACAAATTCCATGCCTGATGACTTATTTCCAATCCCTCTACCGGCAGTGGCAGACATGATCTATGGGCTGAATAAGTATGCTTGCGGCAGGGGCGATGGTCCTCGGCCGAACCGTGAACCTTGCGGAGTGGTGGAAAACTTAGGGAAGTTATGCGAGCGCTTCAAGGTGTGGGAGGAACTGTTGGGGCGTTTCGACTTCAAGGACTTTTTTGCGAGAGGGGGGTGACGTATGACGGGGAAGAGGTTCGCGTCGCCCAAACGCTGAGTTGGGAAGGTGTTCGTGGTTCTTTACCTGACGAGGTAGGGCAGCTGGAGTTGCGAGACTTCTGCGCTCATGGAACCCTCCATTACCTGGATCATTTTGAGGACCACCTTGTTGACACCTCCAACCTATCCTGCCCTCGGGCCCCTCGAGTCATGGTGGGTGATGACTGGCCGTCCGTTTGCGAGGGGCTCATCGAGAAGAAGATTTGCGAAGTCACGCCCATGGACCAGCTCTTCCACATCGACAAGGTGCCTTTGCTGTAACAGTTGAGACCCAAAGACTCATCATGAATCTTATACCCCTTAACCAGTTGTGTGACTCATTGGTGGGAGACGTGGTCACTCTCCCGAATATCAGCAGTTTTGGTACTTTTTTTGATGGATGATGGTGAAGTCGCGTTGATTAGTTCTGAAGACATCCGGTGTTTCTTTTACCTGTTCAAGATTCCGAACGCCTGGAAGAAGTTCTTGGGATTTAATCGTCGTGTTCCTGAATCGTTGGTCCCTGAGAGATGGCGTGGTCGTCCCTGCGTGCTGACTGCGTGTGTACTGCCCATGGGCTTTGTTAATAGCGTGTCCATTGCACAACACGTTCACAGGAACATTGTCAGTTGGAGCCAGCAAACGACCGGTGGACTAGGTGGTGAAAGTGAGATGCGAAAGGATCGCGTGAGCAGCCGGGCACGAACGCAGTATAGAGTCTACCTTGATAATTTTGATTTGGTGGAGCGCTTTGACCCCCCCCACGGCTCAAGCCCTTGGTGGCCAAGTTGCAGAGGCGGTGCACCGCCTACGGGAGCAGTACTCCAGTCAAGGCATCCCCCGTCACCCCAAGAAAGCCGTG